CATATATATATACACACACACACACACAAAATTGACTATGGTTATGACACACTCACTCAAACTAACGTTGTAACATCATTAGATCAAGGACATGTAATTTGATCTACTGGTAAAGGATGCAAGCAGTTTATATATATAAATATATATATATATATATACACACACACACATATATCTACTACGTGTATATATATCCATGGCAATTGGTTGTCTCAATCTAAAAGGTCACATCCGCATAATATACTAGTAATAGTCAAAAGCACATTGTGAATAGAAAAAAATCATAACCAAGCACGTTTTTAAACTGTAGTTCTTGTTAAAGAATAGATGCCTTAACTAAGACGTAACATGAGAACACGACAATCATGACGTTAACTTATACCGGTTCATTAAGAGATAATTATCAGAATAAGTAACTTTCTAATGTTCATGATATATTATATATATTTATAAATATATATATACACGCACATGCATATAAACACAGTACTGTAATTAAGACAGACATTTATATAGTAGCTAGCTTGCCTAACAGAAAGTCTTTATAAAAAGAAAAAAGAAAATGATGGTTAAGTGATTGTACATGCATCCTAAAAATTGCAATCGATTGATGACATCTTTAGATGGAATTGAATACTCTTCCCAAGCAAACAATCTGTTTCTAGATGAATAATTTATTTAACCGGCCACTTGCTCCTATACATGATCAGATACAATATTGGACCCTACGTGTTAATTAGATTCTAACATAAGAAAAAAAAAGTTGGATTGGTTTTAACAATTTTAACGTACTTAACCCAGGATTAACTTTGGTGTATGTTTTATGAAGCGTCAGATCTCATGATCAATAATCGACAAAGGCGAATTCAGAAATTATTAATGGGGGGTTAATATTAAATAAGGAAAAATTGGGGATCAAAAAATTAAAGAATTGAAAATTTTTAGAGTAAATAGGGTTAGACTTTAGAGGGAGAGAAGGAACGAGCTCTTTGATTTGTGCAAGATTAGGAATTTAGGAGTTTTCTGTACTTTAGCTTAGTGATTGTTTATGGCTTGTTTGGCTTGGGCCTATTTGGTTGGGCCTTTATTTTAAAATTGTGGCTTAAAAATTGGACTTGTTTGGATGGGTTAAAATTGGGGGGTTAATAATACTATTAATTTTTTTCTTTTTTAAAATATTGAACTAAATATACCTATACTACAAAAAAAAAAAAAAAAAAAAAAAATGTCCTGGGGGGCGGGCTCAAGCCCCCCTTTCGATCCGCCACTGATAATCGATTGTTCTTAAGAGCAAATAATTTCTTAGGGTTATGCTCGCGAATATTGTCGAGCTTCACCCGATCCACGTGAGGGGCGCCTTAGATTCTAACATAAGAAAAAAAGTTGGATTGGTTTTAACAATTTTAACATGCTTAACCCATGGATTGACTTTGGTGTACATTTTATAAAGCGTCAGATCTCATGATCGATAATCGATTGTACTTAAGAGTAAATAATTTCTTAGGGTTACGCTCGCAAACATAGTCGAGCTTCACCCGACCCACATGAGGAGTACCTTACATAGGTCCAATGAATTAAACACGCTGAGTGTCCATAAAAGAGTGATGATAGGCTTGCCAAACTATGCAGCAGCTCCCATTCACTTGATGTTTGGTGCCCATATTAACACGAGTAGTGGTATCCACGTTGAAGAGTTGCACTGAATTGTCTAAGTGGATGGTTTTGATGGATTATTTATACAAAATACAAATAAGTGAAGAGTTACACAGTCACACTCTTATTTTTTGCATGGACAACAAATTAAGAACAGTAAGTTTTGACAATATTTTGCAACTACAAAATAGTAGGTATAAAAATTATTTTCCTATTAACAATCATAAACACTTGGGCTCTCCATTCGTTTGGCCAGTTCGGTCACAGAATCATTTTCATTTATGAAGAGCAGGGAACATAATTTCTTTCAAGACTGACCAAAAAATGCAGTATTTTTAATTTATCTTGAGCTAAGCAGTCTTTGACGTTGCTTTAATTTATTACCTAATTTTCAGGGATTGACATGGTAGTTATAATTTATAAAACGCAGGGGTGATTGGTAGGAAACAAGTACATTCCCCCTCCCAAGAAAAGAAAAAACAAAATTTTTTGAGAAGAAAATTGTGGGTGATTTATTATTTTTATATAAAAATAATAATGCACGAATTATGTCAGAAAAAAAAAAAAAGAAAATCAAATTTATATTTATCAAATTTCTAATACATACATACATACAACTATATACCATACCTAGTATCTATTATTTGATGAATTGACTTTCACCTCATCAGTCCAGATTAGTTGAAATTTGAACATAAAAAAATTAAGAATCGAGAAGAACTATAGGAAAAAGATGTAGATATATATATATATATATATAGAAAATATGTATATACATATATTTTATATATTTGTTAATTTTGTTTTGATTGCCTTGATTTCCTTGGCGCATATTTGTGTATATATATAAGGAGAGAGAGAGAGGTGGAAAAGGAAAAAATAAATAAATAAAAAAGGGGAAGAACATGGAATTGAGTTAGCAAGAAAAAAAAAAAAAAAAAAAACTGAACCTTAGTCACCGTTTTTTTTTTCTTTGGTTCAATCCTTCTTTTTAGAATTTAAGGTTAGGGAAGTAAAATTTAGTTGTAAGAATTAAAGTTATTCAATTCGACAGAATCCTACGTAGCTAGGGTTCGATATTTCCAATTTGGAGAAGTTTTGAGAATAAATTGATATACTAACCCTAATAATCCATAATTATATGATTTGTTCTTACTTGTAATTTTGTTTGAGTAACATATTTTGTATGCATATTTTATTTTTTGTTAAATTGTTTTAAAGTGAGTTTATTTTGCATTTTAATTTTATTTTAATTTCAGTCAAAAGGTAAAGTTAAATTGTATAATAATATGCTCCATAATTAATTTTTTTTTCTTGACTTGCTGATTTGGCGCTAACTTAGTTATAACAAGCTAGGCTATATTCGGAAGGTGGCATTAATCACCATCTGATGCTCACTCGAAGTCATCCAGTTAGAGAGTAACTGGAGATGATTTTTTTCCCACAAGTGTCATGTTTTACCCTATTTTAAAATTCTTTTATTACCTACTATACAAAATCAAGCAAGTTAAGGGGACAATTTTACCTTTTTTTTTCCTTTTTTTTTTATTATTTTATTTAAAAGGAAGTTTTACAACCAAGTAGCTTATCAAAACATAAGCATTGAAGTAAGTATTGGGATTATAAGTTTAGATCTTCTAAGTAACATTGTTGTACTGTCTCGGACTACTCACAAAGCACAAAACGAATGCAGGTGCATGTGCCGTGAACTGTTTGATGCAGTTCTTGTAGTACTCTATCGGATCCCAACACCAAAAAGACTACACCGAGAATAAAAGAAAAGATCAAAACAAGCTGGGTAACCAAGGACGAACTTATGTGAAATAATTATATTATCACCTATAAGATATTGAGAGATTATATAAATGCTCCCACAACTTTCATACTTTGCACCCAAGAACTGCGTCATCTCTAGTCTCCATCTCTAGTCTCCATCTCTACCAGCCCCCGTTCCATCATCTACAACTCTCTCTTTGAAGAATTAAATAAATAATTTCTCTCTACACTTTTCATTGACAATGCCTCTCTTCAAGAAAGAAATACAAACCTTAATTAGGACCGTAAGAAAAGTCCTAATTAATTCATGGTTGAGACAAAAAAAAAAAAAAAAGAAAAGAAAAGAAGATAATGTATATTTATTAGTTTATTTGTTGGTGACTTTGATATTGATCCTACTAGTTAAATTTGTCACATAAAAATTGAGAGATACAAATTTAGTATCATATAGATTTGTATTTAGAATTTTTCACTTTGAAAGATAGAGAAAATAGTACTGAGTTATTAGATAGAACAATTGTGAATATATTTTACAAAAATATTATCAATCTATATTCTATAATTAAGTTAGATATAATTTTAGTTGATTTTATTTTTTATTTTTTTCTTTATTATTGTTTAAGGTCGTGTCCCTAAAAACAAATTTCTGAGTCCGTGACTTGTGGGGTCACTGTGGGTAACTGATGGTAACATAGCTCCTCACAGAAGCATGCAAGTCGAACACATATAAATCCAGAGCATTTACGAGCTCCTCTTACAACCTTGGGATTGAGGGACTCCATGCACTAATCTAACGGCGGAAAATGAGAGCTGAATTAGCTCCTTTAATTGATAGCTTTTTCTTAAAACATTTTTATTGTTATTGATTGTAATGGTGACTAAACGTTACAACTAACATTGTTAAATCACTATCTGCCCTACATGCCTCTCTAACAATTTTATTTATTTACTTATTTATTGACATGAGACACATACATTCATTTTTTTTTATTGAGATTTGAACTCTCATAAGTTGACAACACTTACAATAAGAAAGAATGATATTAAACAACAATAATATATAATAGAGTATTTAGGGCCGGATCTAGGATTGAAATTCACATGAGAGGGGGCAAATTTATATAAAGGGATTTTTTCATAATTTCAGTGGGGGCAATTTCAAAATTTTATAGATATAAATGCAAAAAAGTATAAATTTAGGGGTATAAAATACAATAATAATAAATTTTAGTGGGGACAGATGCCCCCACTAAGCCCTTTAGAGATCCGTGCTTGAGAGTATTATAAAAAATTGAATATGAACATTGTTAATATATTAACAAAAATTATAGATCCTTTTATAAATAAAATAATTTCAGAGAGGGCGGCTGTCAAACAGGGGCCTTAATAGGTCAGTTGAGGAGATAGTACCAGCTAGATTACGATCTTTGATTTCGAATAATTCACGGGCAAAATTTATTTACATTTTATTATTTTAGATATTAGTTTATTAAAAAAATAATTTATGATAGTATAAATACCCATATTAAGGGGCACTAGTTGTGTAGATGCACTAAGCTAGGTTGAGAGCAATGGCATCTTCTAAACCAGTAACCTCTAGGAGTTCACTTAGTATTCAGGAGCTAGTGAAAGAGCCCATGCTTGCCATACCAAAACACTATGTTCAAGTAGATCAAGAACCTTCAATCCTCTTGGAAGGAACTTCCTTGCCCACAATTCCTGTAATCAATATGCAACATTTGATTATGGAAGAAGCCAAATATTATGAACTAGAGAAGTTGCACTCAGCATGCAAAGAGTGGGGCATTTTTCAGGTTTTTTTTTTTTTTTTCCCCCCCCCCCCCTCCATCTTCGCAAAATTTTAGCTATGATAAGTTCTTCCCCAAGCCTAGATCATACGATTCGATCCATTGAAAAATTATTCTTGTCTTATACCTATCTCTCTTCATAAATTTCCCAATTCCTTCCGCGATCGAAAATTTGCATTTCATGTCCATCAATTTCTATAACTTTTTAAATGGAAAATTAGTTGGATATTTCAAAGATATAGTTGCTGCTAACCTAAAGATGAAAAGAAATAAACTGAAAAAAAAGAAAAACAAGTTATAGATTCGGCCAAGTTTAAACCATACAATAATTAAGCTTTGGTCTCTTCCTATTTGTTTATATGTATTTATATATATATATGTAGATATTTATATACAAAAGAAAAAGTAAATAATGCATAAATTAAATTAGAAGTGGAGTACTAACAGTTGGAATTATGTTTTTATATAGCTGGTGAACCATGGAGTTGATTCTTCATTAGTGGAGAAACTGAAATATGAGATTCAAGAATTCTACAAGCTCCCTATGGAAGAGAAAATGAAATACAAGCTAAGGCCTGGTGATGTTGAAGGGTATGGACAAACCCCCCTCTTCTCTGAAGATCAAAAGGTTGACTGGTCAGACAGATTTTATATGATAACTAATCCCAACCATAGAAGAAAGCCACACCTCTTGCCAGAGCTCCCTTCATCACTTAGGTGCTCTCTCTCTCTCTCTCTCCCTCTCTCTCTCTCTCTCTATATATATATATATATATCTCACACACACACGCACCCCTACACACACAGTATATATTTATTGTATTTATGCATTACTGTATGTTAATATGCATGCATGCATGCATATATGTGTAGATATTATGTATTAATACATGTATTTATGGATGTATACTTATATGTTTGTCTATCCTAGTTATATGTATGTCTATATATATATATATATATCTATTTCATCTATATATATCACTGCAGGAATACCTTGGAATCTTACTTATTGGAGTTGCAAAAACTTTCCAAAACACTACTTGGGATGATGGCAAAGGCTCTAAAGATTGATGAGGAAGAGGTAGAAGAGATGTTTGAAGATGGGATGCAATCAGTGAGGATGACTTACTATCCACCATGTCCACAACCAGAGTTGGTTGTTGGCCTTACACCGCACTCCGATGCTTCTGGCATCACCTTCCTTCTCCAAATCAATGGAGTGGAAGGCCTCCAAGTTAGAAAAGATAGAGTTTGGATCCCTGCAAACTTCCTTCCTGGTGCCTTTATGGTGAATGTTGGAGACATTCTAGAGGTTTGCATACCCTACATGAAAAGATCCCTCCCCCTTCCCCGTTATCTTATCCATCAACAAAATTAAATAAATTAAAGTAATCTGAAAATATATTGAATTTTGTCTGCATTTTAGAAACCTTACCTTACTTGGCTGCTGTCATTTTCAAAACTTATTTCTCGTTTCAATGTCCATTTAAAATTCACCTACCAAGGGTTACAATCTAGTAATACTATCATCTCCTGTTTTAAAGTAGAAGGTCAATGTTTCAAGTCGATCTTCACAAAAGCAAAAATGAGATAGTGAGTGTATTTTTTGTCATGGTAAAAAATAAAAAATAAATTTAAAATGCACATGCTAGGTACCTTTCAAAAAAAAAATAAAAATAAATAAAAGATAAATTCCTTTGCAGAGGTGAGAATGAGTATATCTGACCCTTTCTAGACCTTACAATGATAGACACTTATATTAACCTTTTTTAAACCTACTGCTCAACACAAGTTTTGCAGGATCATAACACAAACTCTTTTCTTTCAATTTCCTTTTGTTACTGATAGGCACTATAAGAGTGATGATTAATTCTTTTCTATAATTATACCCAGATTTTCAAGTTATGCAGCATCACTCATTTCAACATTTTGGGCTTTGTTATTGGTTACTAGTAAATTAAGTACAATCCTTAATATTTGAAATTCTGTAATAATTTTAAAAAAAATTAAAAAATTTAACTGAAATTTATATCAAAATGAAATTAAATTATGTGCTAGGAACGAGCTATCATGACTTGGATTTATTATTTATATCACTTACCTTGGTATTAGTGGCAAAAGACTCGTTTAATAATATTAAAAAAAAAAAAAAAAAAAATTCATTCTAGAGTTCTGAATTTTCCTTTTCCTTTTTCTTTTTCCACTATTTGGATTGTTACAATTAATTTTACCATCATAATGGCATTGCCCACTAATTTTTTTTTTTTTTTTTCATAGTTGATACTCACACACATATACCTCCATGGAGGCTTGAACCTTTAACCTCCCTTTAAAAATTAAAAGTCTGATACCACTAAACCACTAGCCCGTTGGTTCCACTGATCATATTAATCATAATCTTCTTCTTCTTTTCTTTTTTTTTTCTTTTGTTTTTTGAAGCAAATTGTATTCATCATAACAATAATTATCTTCTTGTGGGAAACAAAAAATTTCCTACATATGCACATCCTAAATGATGTTAGTATATTATTAGAAAATCCACAACCAAATCAAAATATGTATAATTTTTGTCTTCTTAATTTCTTTCCATTTATTGTGTACGTAAATGTACAGATCTTGAGCAATGGTGTCTACCGCAGCATTGAGCACAAGGTGACAGTAAATCCAGTGAAAGAAAGGATCTCTATTGCTATGTTCTTCAATCCCAAGTTCCAAGCAGAGATTGGACCAGCAGCTAGTATTATAAACTCGGAAAACCCAGCATTGTTCAAAAGGGTAGAGATGGAGAAGTATGTCCAAGATTTTTTCGCCCGTAAGCTCAATGGAAAGTCGTTCTTAGAGCAAATGCGAATTGAAAATGGAGAAGACTACACTACTTGATGATGGTGATGGACTTGCTTAAAAAATAAAATGGTGTAAAATATTTCAAGGTTCTGGAGTCACATTTTGGAGAATTGCATCTTGTTTATTATACTAGTCTCTCTCCTACCACATTGCTGGTGGGATAATGTTGTTATAAATAAAATGGTGTAATGTATATTATGGTTTGTAGTTAAATCTTGTAAATGGTATGTCTTGTATATATAATGTTATAAATAAAATGGTGTAATGTATATTATGGTTTGTAGTTAAATCTTGTAAATCGTTTGTCTTGTATATATTTCTAATCTTATACCAGTCTCTATCCTACAAATTTTATTTTTTTCCGGGAAGTTGAAGTGTGTATACCATTGGACAGTCCCAAAAGAGAGAAGAAAGCAACCAAGGCAAATCCAGTTGATGTCTCAGGTTAAACAGGCACAAGACAAGTGCAGGCTAGGCCTAACAAATCAAAATACATGATGTTAAGGTAACAGGTCGTCCACAGTTTCCGATGACAAAACAGGTGAAGATTTGACCTCAACCATGGCGCGATCGGGAGGCTCTAGTGGTCGAATGAAACCCTCTGCCAAATCCCATTCGATCCAAAGAGACTCGACGAGTAGAAGTGGAGTCCTTTACTTGCATTGAAACCAATCTATTTCTAATTAAGTTGGTAATGTTTGTCAACAATGCCCTGTGAGATGAGCTCCGTGCCTTGAATGCTCTCTATTGTTGCGCTCTATCCAAATTCGATTCACAGTACTGGATAATGCAAACTTGTTGACGAAGTTCTAAAGTGTATTGGCTTTTCAGTGATATGAGGACCAAGTTACAAAACTGTCTTTATTTTTTCATTTTTTATTTTTTTTGGGTATTTTTTGATTTTTTAAATTATTTTATTTTCTCGGCTCGTTTTATGTGCCACGTACCGGTTAACTTGCCACAAAGGTTCCGAGAGTGGTTTGGAACATTTTTTTAAGTTTAGGACTCTTAAAAATGTATTTGGAGCCATTTTGACATTTTCTAGATTTTTGGACCAAGAGGTCTCTGGTAGGTCCCGCATCCCCATTTTTCCTATACAGATTTATTTTTTGGCATCATTATATTTCATATACTATTATTTGGTGTATATTTATGTTAGTATGTGACTTAATGAATATTTATAGCATGTACATACATACATACATACATACATACATATATATATATATATATATGCAAGAAATCAAACAAAAGAGATGTTTTGAACCTATTGGGACCCACCTTGACTTAAGGTGTATCTAAGAGGACTTAAAACCTCAAATTTTCTATAGAATCCTTTTCACTTCTCCCAGCCGAGCTTCACTTTCTCTCTCTAAAACTTCTTTCTCTTTCTAATCAAGCCATGATTTCATCACTTTTCTTTAAGATTTGGACTTTGCTATAGAAGGCAAACTTAACGAGCACGACGAGAGTTACAAGGTGATCGGAGCAAATTTCTATTTGGCCCACTTTGAAGATTTTGAAAATTTAAAAATTTTTAGGGCTTCTGCTTGATTTTGATGTAGAGGTCTATGAACCTCACACCCTTTGACTTTTGTGAGTTATTTTCTATATTTTGTGAATATAGCATGTTAACTTTATGATTTTTATTTATGATTATTAGAGTTTTTTTTATGTAAAACATGATGGTTGTTTCTTATGTGGTAATTGTGTTGATTTAGTTGTTTAATTGAATTATTGCAAAAATGAATATTTGAATTAAATGATGCTTTACAAATTTAACATGATATGGTTGTGTAGTCGATGATATAAGGATTATTGTGTTAATTTTTTTCCAAAAATTACAAATATGACTGTAGTTTAAATGTATGAATTTTCATAGCACTAAAATCACTACAAGAAAAATGACTTTTTACCACAGTGGAAGAGGCTTTCCACCACGGAAATAGCCATGGTAGTTAAGTAGAGACTTTCTACCACAGTACCACGATGTAGAACCGTGGTAAAAAATAAATTTTTTATCACGGTTCCGTACCGCGGAAGAAAGAAAGACTTTCTACCACGATTCTGCACTGTGGTAGAAAGTCTTTCTTTCTGCCACGGTTATGCACCATGGTAGAAAGTTTATTATGCATAACCGTAGTAGAAAGTGTTATATAATTTTGTTAAAAAATAAAATAGTGTAGCCCATTTGAAGCCTTTTTTTTTTTTTTTTTTTTTTTCCCCCTACTACTAGTCTTGCAAGGACCCCATAAGCAAATCCTAAATAAATAAAAAATCGTATCATAACCAAAATAATTTACAACTGACCAATAACATCATATATATATATATATATATATATATATATATATATATATATAACCAAATCCAAATCATTATTTTATACAAAAATTAGCCATATACAAATTTCAAATAAGTACATGATCCACACCTTATATATTTACTCAACCAAAATAAAACAAAAATTCTTTATATCTTCTTGCAACTTCTTCATGAGCTATACAAAAAATATAGCGGCTAAAAAAAAAAAAAATTAACCACAACCTGCAATCCTAACTTTGACCTACAAAGATGTAATAGTTGAAGTAAGAGAATTAACGTAAAGCAAGTTGTAAAGTTACCAAAATTAAACCAAAAAAAGCAAGCATTATAATAAAGGTACATTGAAAGATCTACTCTTCGTATTAACTCAAGCAAAGCAAGTATTAACATGGTTTTAACTTAAGCAAAGCAAGTTCAGTGTGTCAAGGAAATAATCCCAAAATTAAAGCTTAAGCATGGCTTATTTAATAGGTGATTGAAAGTACACAACCCTCCCAAATTGCTTACAAGAGGGAATGGGAGGGGGGGGGGGGGGGGGGGGGGGGGACTCTTCTTTTCTTAGGACTGAAACCTGACCAGGAGAACTTAAACCACCCTACAGATAACTTTACTGTAGTGTTATGACAGCAATGGCCAGTAGAGTTGCCACATCCAATTCAAAATCCGGGGGGGGGGGGGGGACTCTTCTTTTTTTAGGACTGAAACCTGACCAGGAGAACTTAAACCACCCTACAGATAACTTTACTGTAGTGTTATGACAGCAATGGCCAGTAGAGTTGCCACATCCAATTCAAAATCCGGTAAAGAGAGGCTATAATACATGTCTCTCTTTGCATTCTTCTAAATTATTTTGCATAATTAAATACAATCCTCTTTTGCATCCTTTTAAATCATTTTACATAATTAAAACACAAGTTCTCTTTATGCCCTTCAAATCATTTTTCACAAGTAATATGCAAGCATGCACATGGCACTTGTGTCTTCATTACTTACAATTTGACGATTAAAATCCTTGATATGGAAACGAATAAGAAAAGTGTGAGCTTTAAATATAATTTATAGTGTAGGATGAATTTAAGTTTTCCTGCAATGACACTACATTATTTACAGTCATTTTTGAAATATTATGTGCGCATATAGGAAATTCTACTTTCAATATACAAATTAACTACTTAAAGCCATTCTTCAATCTAGTGTTCTAATATGCCCTTCATAATAAAGCCCAAGTTGCCATTAACTGAGAACTAGCTCACACAACAAATAATTAATATATTTTACACATCTTCCTTGTGTGACTAAGTTTGTGTGTGTGTGTGTGTATATATATATATATATATCTAGAGAGAGAGAGAGAGAGAAGAGTGCTGGTTAGTATGAAATTTCAATTACTTAAATGAACTTGAGCTGGAAGACATTGACATGGTCCTGTTAGCTTCTAGGCAACTATATGGAAAAATATCACATTAATCCATACTTATTGAAGAAATTAAGAGCTTTAAATCATTAATATTTGAAATTAATCTAATGCCAGTGACTCGTGTAATACCCCTAATTTTAAAAGAATAGACTCGGTTTTTTTTTTTTTTTTTTTTTTTTTAATTCTTTAATTGATTTCTTGGCTATTTTTTAATTGTTTATATGAATTAATTGATTATATGTTTATTTGAAATACATGTTTAATGACGTGTATTTATTTACTTAAGTGTTAGGTGTTTTGATGTGTATTTGCTTATTTAATTGTTAGGAATTTTCATTAAAAAATAATGTTAGGAATTAAATATTTTAAATGTTTGTTTTATTTTATTTCATTTTATTTTAAGGGTTTTGGATAGTAGTCATGGCCCAACTAATTGGGTTCCATGGACTATTTGAATAAGGAGTTTAATGGGTACGAATAATTACCGATGGATAGTGTATATGTATATATATATAATTAAATAATACATATAGATTTAGGAAAAATCCTTTGGAGATAATCTAGTGTATTTATTTTATTGAGATAAAAATAATATACATAGATTATACGTAACTTATATTTTTAGTTACTTTTTTTTAGTGTTTTAAATTTTATTATTATTTTCTTTATTAATTAGATGTGGATTAGGAAAAGGAATATGATGAATATGTTGTGAAACAAAAGTTACGCAGGGTGCGGAAACAGTTAGTTGATTTTAATTGTGATTAACTCCTTTAACGACCTAGATCTGATTATTAGGTCAACTTACTCAATTTATGATTGATTAAATTATATGACCAATTTAAACATGCATCCACAATCACAAATATATAAAAAGTAAAGCAAGTCAGGGTTAGAAAGATTGCACCAGGATTTTAGCGAGGAAACCCCAGTTGATAAAAAAACGTTAACTATTTGCATGGGAAAAACCTCGTGGACTATGCAGTCCAAAGTAAACCAATCCATTATATTTGAAACAAAGTATACTGAATTTTGACTCTGGCTCACACCTTATCATTCTATACCACACCAACGGCTGACGATCCTCTGGCTTTGCGACTCCCCGTCCAACAACAACTCAACTTCAGGCTTATACTTAATATTTGTAGAAGATTAGCAGGTAGATCAGATAGCACTCCACGAATGCTCCAACCCTTCCAAAGTGTGACTGAGTTTACTTCTGTTCTTTAAGATTTGAATGCGATTGTAGAAGAATTAACTCTTGTTGATCATCCAGAATATCTGAATCTTCAATACAGCTCTAATTCCGATGAGATAGAGAACATCACAACTAAAACTAAATCACTCATGAATAAATATGTGTGCTCTCAAAAATAAATTCAGAATAATCAGATTTGATTTTCTGAATTTTTCTCTCTTTAAAGGCTTTCTCAAAATTTAGAATTGATTTTCTTTAAAACCCCCTCTCAACTAATGTATATGACATGGTTTATATAGAGTTTTGAAAGTCCTAATCCCTCAGAAAATATGATAAATTTCGTGCATGGAACTTGGAACAAAGTTGGAATCGAAAAGGAAACTTTCAGCAAAAAGGAAACTAAAATCCAAGTGCTACCAGAAGACCTTGAACCCGTTCAGCCATCTTGAACCGGTTCAAGATGGACAGTATTGAATCCTACAGATTCTTGAACCGGTTCAGCCCTCTTGAACCGGTTCAAGATGAGCAATCTTGAAAATTTGTGATATTTTGCAATTATTCTTGTTTCGAACCTTCCAGAAACCTTCCTAATTGTCCTCACTACCTCCCAACCTTCTTAGAGCATCTTTCTCATTATCTCAGAGTGTAGTAAAGAACACTTGACTGTCTTCTTCAAATCCGCATCCGATCTTCAATCTTTGAAAATTTTGAACCGAAAAATTATAATTCGATCGGACTTGTTTTGACAACGAAATAAGCCAATTATAAAATATAGATCGTACAATCTCCCCCTTTGGCAATTTCATGATAAAACCCTAAAACAATTCAGCAATCTACCCAAGCAGGAAAGTAAATTACATAGAATGTTAAAGGAATTAAAACGCGAAAACTTTCTTGAACCTTATGAAGCTTTGACACATGTAGCTACCTGTAATCTGCACATTAGCTCAAACACAACTACCCGTGAAGCTTAATCAAGAAAATAAACATAAGCATAAAAAAGCTAAACTAATAATGCCTGAATGTCAATGCAATGTAATGCACTGAACAATATTTCTCCCCCTCAATGCAAAATGTTTCTCCCCTTAATGCAAAAAGTTTCTCCCCCTTAATGATAAAACTCTAAACTCTTTCCCCCTTTTTGTCACAAATTAACAAGGGTCACAAGAAAGAAATTTCCTAGAAAGAGGAAGCAACCAACCATATTAATCTTGGAAATTGAAATTAATGAGTTTGTAGACTCCACAAGATTATATGAATCCACATAAATAACCAAGATCAATGCTATGAAGTTCCACAAACTTAGTAAGTGTAGTAAAAATCACCACCAAATTCCAAAAATATATGATTTATCAATTGTTCAGATTTCAAATAATAAATCAATGATATTACATATCCTTAGAAATTAAACAATCAACATGTGCAACAAACACATTTTTTTTTATCTCTTTTTGTGCTCCATTTTTTCTTTTTGCACATTGACGGCTTTCATGCTTATGGGCAGCCAGCTCTTTCCCTTATTCCCATTTGTTTTAAATCAAGGTAACTTTCGGACAATTCCTAAAGTTAGCCTTTTCCATCTCACCTTTTTCTAAATAGCAATTATTTTTCTTTATTTTTCAAACATTTTTCATTCAAAGCTGTTTTTTAATTTTCTTTTCTTTTCACTCTTTTAGTCTAAAACACATAAAGCAAGTTTAAATCATAAGACAATGATCAATCATAACAACATTATCTTTGACCAAAACAATGACATCTCAAGTAAATGTACTATCAATGATTCATTTACTATACGAAATAAGTAAAGCAAAACCAACTTCATCAAATCGTAGCTATTGTATGCTTTCCACAAATAATCCATGTGTCATAAAACTCCTTATTTTCAATATACTCAATCAATATGGTTTGCTTAACTTCCCAAAAACATAATCTAAACTCTCAAGATATGCATGAAAATCCTTTATAGACTATGGTCTTTGCAATGCATCTAATCAAGACAACAAACACCAATAGATTTCCTAAAATGAGAAAACTTAGGAGCATCTAATGGTTTAGTGAGAATATCAGCCAAATTCTGACCAGTATGCACTTTTTCCAAAGACATGACATTTTGTTCAACAAATTCTCTAAGAAAGTGATGTCGAATATCAATGTGTTTAGTCTTAGAATGCAAAATTGGATTCTTTGAAATATTAATTGTACTAGTATTATCATAAAAGATAGAAATAGTACCTTGATCAACTCCATAATCCAGAAACATCTGTTTCATCCAAAGCAATTGTGTGCAACCATTTCTAGTAGTAATGTATTCAGCCTCACAAGATGATAAAGATATGCAATTTTGCTTCTTACTATACCATGAAACAAGATTAGTACCAACATAGAAACAACCACCTGAAGTACTTTTTCTATCATCCTTGTTTCCAGCCCAATCAACATCAGTATAGCTGCAATCTCAGAGTTAGACTTATAAGAATAACGCAATCCATAATTCAATATACTATTGATATATCAAATAATGCGCTTGACTACAAGAATGTGTTGTTCTCTAGGATCAGCTTGATACCTAGTACAAACACTTATACTAAATAAAATATCTGGCCTGGTTGCTGCCAAATATAATAAGCTACCAATCATACTCCTATATAAGAAATGATCAACCTTGTTAGGATCAGAGTCTCAATCCAATTTGGATGAAGTACTCATAGGAGTTTGAATATGCTTTGAATCTTTCGTACCAAACTTCTTAACTAGCTCATTTGCATACTTTGATTGAGATATGAAAATCCTATCATCAAGTTGTTTCACTTGGAGACCTAGAAAGAAAGTCAGTTCACCAACCATGCTTATTTCAAAAGTTTTACTCATATCTTTAGAAAAAGTATGAACAAGGTTATCATATGTAGCACCAAAAACAATATCATCCACATATATTTGAACAACAAGAAAATCTCTTCCTTTCCTAAAAATAAACAATGTTTTATTTGCTCCTCCTCTTCTGAAGCCCTTCTGTAATAGATAAGAAGTCAACTTCTCATACCATGCTCTAGGTGCTTGCTTTAAACCATAAAGAGCCATTTTAAGATGAAAAACAAAATCAGGATTATGTGGATCAATAAAACCTTTTGGTTGTGCTACATAAACTTCTTTCTGCAAAATACCATTTAGAAAAGCACTTTTAACATCCATTTGAAACAATTTGAATTTAAAGTGACATGCAAGAGCAAAAAGAAGTCGAATAGACTCAAGTCTAGCAACAGGTGCAAAAGTTTCATCAAAATCAATTCCTTCAACTTGAGTGTATCCTTGTGTAACTAATCTAGCTTTTTTTTTTTTATCAAAAGACCATGTTCATCAAGTTTATTTTTAAAAATCCATTTGGTCCCTATGATATTAACATCACTAGGTCGAGGCACTAGTTCGCATACATAATTCTTCACAAATTGAAGCAATTCTTCTTTCATAGCCATAAGCCAATCAGAATTTTGAAGAGCTTCATCAACATTTTTAGGTTCAAACTGAGCCATGTGGCATGAGTGAACAATATCATCTACAATGCATGAGTGTCCTACATCATCACGGACTATACTCCTAGTACCATGCTTATCCCATGGACCTATCACATTATCAATTGGGTGACTCAATCTAACTCTAGAACTGCTGGATGTGGGAACATATAGAGATGGTGCAGGAATTCCTATAGGGTCATCAGTGGTGACCTCTAATTCCTTATCCTCATCTTCTTTAACCTCTTCACCTTCTCCACCTAAATCCTCAACTCTTTCTTCCTCATGAATTATAGTTTCTTTCCTTTCTCCTGCAATGTTAAAATTAGTTTCTTCTTCATCAAGTTGAGAAGAGGTTATCTTCGATTTTGTATCATCATATACAACACTTATAAACTTCATGACCACTTTGGTTCTAAGATTCAAAACCCTATAAGCCCGACTAGTTTGTGAATAACCCAAAAACACACCTTCATTACTTCTAGAGTCAAATTTTCCCAAGGGTTCCCTATATCTAAGGATATAACATTTACTTCCAAAGACTCTAAAGTATTTAACAGTGGGCTTTCTATTATACCACAATTTATATGAAGTCTTGTTAATTTCAGGCTTAAGATAAACTCTATTTAGGATATGACAAGCAGTACGTACCGATTCAGCCCAAAAGTGACTTGCAATCTTATTCTCTTGAAACAAAGTACGAGCCATTCCTACAATTGTCCTATTTTTCCTTTCCACTACACCATTCTGTTGTGGTGTTTTAGGTGCTGAAAATTCATGCTTAATGCCATTCTTATCACAATATTCAATAAACTTCTTAGGTTCGAATTCACCTCCATTGTCGCTCCTAATCCGATTAATTCGATATCCCTTCTCATTTGGAATAAGTTGGCAAATAGACCTGAAATTCACAAAAATATCAGATTTTTCTCTCAAATATGCAAGAAAAGTAAATCTAAAAAAATCATCAACCATCACAAGCAAATATCTTTTTCCTCCAATGCTATCCGGTGTTATGCGACCCATTAAATCTATACAAATCAATTCTAAAGGTCGAGTAGTGACTTTACGAATAAGTCTCTTGTGTGACATTCTAGTTTGTTTTCCTAACTGACATGGACCATATATTTCATTCTTAGGCATCTTCAATTTAGGCAAACCTCGAACAAGATCATTGTTAGACAAATTCACTAAATCATTATAATTCACATGTCCAAGTCTTTTATGCCATAAAACAGCCTCATCAGTAACTGCAGAAAAATACATAAGTAAAAGATCTGAAAACACAACATAGCAATTATTAGAAGTTCTAGTTCCTTTCAAGATGCATTCACCTTTTTCATTAGTTACAAAACACCCTTATTGAGTAAAATTGACTTGAAACTCCTCATCACAGATTTGACTAATACTCAACAGATTAGCAGCTAAACCTTTAACATATAGAACATTTTTTAACTCCCCAATTCTTGGAAATTTAATCTTACCTTTACCACTTACTGTAGAAGTTTTCCCATCACCAAAAGTAACAGTACCAACTGAACATTCCTTAAAAATGGTAAATAATGTTCTATCTCCTGTCATATGCCTAGAGCAACCACTATCAAAATACCAACCACATGGACCAAGTGCTCTAAGTGCAGTGTGCAGGGCAAGACACTTAAAATTCTCTTTCTTTACCCAAACAATTTTAGATTCATTATACAATGATTTCCCTATTGTTCTAGGCAAATTGTCATAAGGCTTAACAATCATAATCCTCTTCTTCCTCAAATTTGAACTTTCTAGATTTTTCAAATTATTTCCTAGTTCAATTTTTCTTTTTTGACACTTATACTTAATATGCCCTTTTTCACCACTAAAATGACAAGTTGAAATAAGTTTAGGAGAATTAGTAATAACACAAAGTTTGGTTTCAACTTCCACAAAAACATCCTTTAATTTTTGGAAATACAAATCCTTTGGAGTTGATGTCAAATCTTTGTTACTCATAACATTCCCAATCACTCCTTTCAACTTATCAATTTTGCAAGTATCAATATCAATTTTCTAAAAAGACTGTTTTGATTTAACAAATTCACTACTCAAATTATCAATTTTAAGCTCCAGTGATTTATTAAACAAATTTACCTCCTTAAGCTCCTTTTCTAGAAAATCAATTTTATGAAGAAGATTTAAATTTTTATGGCCAATTTCTTCCAAATTCTTATTAGAGACAGAAACTTTTAACTTATAAATATCTCTATCAAGTTCCGCAAGTTCTAATTTCTCTAACAATTTTTCAAAATCCTTTTTAAACTTTGACTACTCAATTTGTATGCTTGTAGCAGAATCAAAAACAGGAGGTAAAGATAACACATCAACAGATGAATTTTCAGACATGTTGCAAAAAGCAATAATCAATCAACAAATATGATCAACTCAGTATATCGAGTTACCCGCTCTTATACCTGATGAGCGCTGACAAGTGTGCTTTTAAACGCCTTAAGCTTGAATATTCTAGGACCTTTATCTATCTTATTTTTTCGTTTTAGGCTAATTTCGTGTTATTTCCCTTTTTAGGTCAATAAAATTAAAACGAGCTAAAAATGGTGTCTTAAGGCCTTTTTGGAGTCAAACTAAGTCTTCGTGAGAATTTGGAGCAAAAGAAAGCTGATTTGGAGCAAAAGGAGGCTAATGCTGAAAATTTGCCAAGTTGGCTGGGTACAACTTTTCTGAGATTGATCGAAGTTAGATCGATCAAACTTTTCTCAGATCGATCGAAGAAAAGTTGGATCGATCGAAAATGTGCTGTAAGCGAGCTGTCTTATTCCCGCGTGTGCCCAAAACTCCACCTACCACATAGTACGGGATTAGATATTTTTGGGGCTATATTTTTGACTTAGTGGCTAAGAAAAGGACCTTCTATATAAAGGGAAGTGACCCATTTTGTAAAGGAGCTTTTTATTATTTTATTTTTACATTGTAATTTTAATTTCTCTCTCTAGAAAAGTTAGAGATTAGGGTTAGAAGAAAAGAGGGAAGTGGAGACACATCTCAAGAACCTATCTCTAGATCCACACATACTCTCTCTCTAGAGCTTCAAAGAAGAAGATGGAACCATGTTTGGAGCTTACTCTTGAGGGTTTCATGACCACATCCACCTCCTCCATGATTGGCTAGATCTACACTTAGGGCTTGGATGAGCCCTAATTCTTGTGTAATCTAAACCCTTGTATTTCTATTTTTGGGGATTTATATATATTGTTGTGATTAGTGTTCTAACCTTGTGAATTTAATGAATCTTGGTATATTTTTATAATTTCTATGGTTTAATTCTTCCTATTAATTCTCAGTTTATTTACATGTCTATGTGTGATTAAATTAGGAATTATTTCTTACATGATTCATATGAATATTCTTTCTATTGATTCTCTATTTAATTACATGTTGTCTTATGTGTGATTATTTAGGAATTAATCTCTACACTAGATTTTCTATGTTGGTTGCATGTCTATGTGTGATTAATTAAGGATTTAGTGATAGCTAAGCATGTGTTTTCATTGAATGGGTTTGCCAATTAATTTAATGGATTATTCTTATGCTTGATGGGTTATTCTATAATTTAATTCATGCTTGTAGGTAGGTAGACAATCTATACTTGGTTTGATATTTCATGACTTATTATTGCAAATTCCATGATTCTCTAGATTGATGTGTGCTACAATTGTGACTAGTTTGATGGGTCATGCTTAGATTTGATGGGTTATTCTACACTTAGTTTATTTGTTGGTTAGGTAGACAATTCATACATGAATTTGATGGTCCATGCTTAATATTGCAATTGGTAGTCGCATTTTGTTCACAACAATGTATTCCTCATTAATGGAAAGCAAGTGGTTAATTATATGAGCTTAGTGGTGATTTCAACACCCTAAGACTTCTCTTCATATCTCTTAAATCCCTATCTCTCACTAGTTTACTTTACTTGCATTTTAATTTCATTGCACCTTAGTGTAATCAACCAATATCTCTATTTGCAATCATTTGGTACATTAGAGTTGAAGTTAAATTCCAACACGTATAATCCCTTGGGACGATCCCTACTCACTCTTGCTACATTAGTAGTAGTGGTGATAGTGGTTTTTATAAATTTAAACTTGACCTAAAAGGCTTTTCTTGAACTGCACATTTCCTACATTATTTTGGCGTTCACAAGCGGCCTCGTCAATACCAAATTGTCAAACAAGAGTTATGCGGGGTGCGAAAATAATTAGTTGATTTTAATTATGATTAACTCCTTTAACAACCTAGATCTGATTATTAGGTCAACTTATTCAATTTATGATTGATTAAATTATATGACCAATTTAAGCATGCATCCACAATCACAAATATATAAAAAGTAAAGCAAGTCAGGGTTAGAGAGATTACACCAGGATTTTAGCGAGGAAACCCTAGTTGATAAAATACGTCAACTGTTTGCATGGGAAAAACCTCGTGGACTACATAGTCCAAAATAAACCAATCCACTATATTTGAAACAAAGTATACTGAACTTTGACTCTAGCTCACACCCTATCATTCTACATTACACCAACGACTGACGATCCTCTGGCTTTGCGACTCCCCGTCCAACAGCAACTCAACCTCAGGCTTATACTTGATATTTGTAGAACAGTAGCAGGTAGATCAGACAGCACTCCACGAATGCTCCAACCCTTCCAAAGTGTGATTGAGTTTACTTCTGTTCTTCAAGATCTGAACGCGATTGTAAAGGATTTAACTCCTGCTGATCATCTGGAATATCTGAATCTTCAATACAGCTCTAATTCTGATGAGATAGAGAACATCACAACTAAAACTAAATCACTCATGAATATATATGTGTGCTCTCAAAAATAAATTTAGAATAATCAGATTTGATTTTCTGAATTTTTCTCTCTCTAAAGGCTTTCTCAAAATATAGAATTGATTTTCTCTAAAGCCCCTTCTCAACCAATGTATATGACATGGTTTATATAGAGTTTTGAAAGTCCTAATCCCATGGAAAATATGATAATTTCATGCATAGGACTTGGAAGAAAGTTGGAATCGAAAAAGGAAACTTTCAGCAAAAAGGAAACTAAAATCCAAGTGTTGCTAGAAGACCTTGAACCGGTTCAGCCATCTTGAACCAGTTCAGCCATCTTGAATCGGTTCAAGATGGATAGTACTAAATCCTATGGATTCTTGAACCAGTTCAGCCCTCTTGAACTAGTTCAAGATGAGCAGTCTTGAAAATTTGCAATATTTTGCAATAATTCTTGTTTCGAACCTTCCAGAAACCTTCCTAACTGTTTTCACTACCTCTCAACCTTCTTAGAGCATCTTTCTCATTATCTCAGAGTGTAGTAAAGAACACTTGACTTTCTTCTTCAAATTCACATCCGATCTTCAATCTTTGAAATTTTTGAACCGAAAAATTACAACTCGATTGGACTTATTTTGACAATGAAATAAGCCAATTACAAAATATATATCCCACATATGTAGCCTATAAATATATAACATTGGGTTGGAAAAAAGGGGCTAGAGTTATATCACGTATATTTTAGAGAGAAAGAGAGAGAAAGAAGGAGGAATGAGGAAGGAGGAAGAGGAAGAAGAAGAAGGAGGCTAGAGTTTTATCAAATCCTTAAGGCAAGTTCTTTCTTCTACACCTCTCTCTTAGATCTGTAATCTATATATCTCTAGTATAACTTTAGGGATGCTTAAAGGATAATTAAAATTGGATCCATGTTTTAATTAATCTAGAACTAGGTTTTATAAATTAGTTTGTTCATATTTGTTCTTGTGTATAAATTGATAAATTTATGATTTGATTGGATTACATTATGTTTTGTTATATGTTATACATAATGTTTTCATATATGTATATTGATGGAACATAGAAACATGCCTAGGATTCCTGAAAAAAATAAAGAATGAATGCATAGTGAAATTCTGGGTTGAGTCGCGTAATAGTGCTCAGACCGCTGTTACAGTGCTCGAGCCTTGGGGGTAAAGCTCGAGCCTTGGATGAAAAGCTCGTGCTTGTAAGGAAAAGCTCGTGCTTGTAAGGAAAAGCTCAAGCAATTGGTTGTAAAGCTCGAGCAATTAGATGTAAAGCTCGAGCCTGAGAAGGAAAGTGTGACGGCCTTGGTTTTTCAAGCCAGTGCGTCTTGTGATGAACCGAAGATTGATCCTATAACGAATCCGAATGCGGAAGCAAAAATAGAAAATAAGACTATAAGAAGTTAAAGTGACCTTCCATGAGGTCGTGGAACTCAATGAGAACTGAGGCGGAAGCAAAAGATTGAAAATACCCCTAGGGGCAAAATGGTATTTTTCTAAAAATATGAATTCGGGTGCCACTGAGCACATCACTGGAAAGACCACAAAAAACTAATAAATATGGACTCAAAAATCACATGATTGGGAGTTCGGACGAAGGAGAAACGGCATGACGAAGAAAAATGAGCACTTAAGGCTAAAAGGGTAAACTGGTAATTTTTTAGGAAGATCCAGGTGCAATGAAGCACACTGTTGGAAAGACAGCCAAAAATTAGTCAAGGTCAAAAAAA